TTCTTTCACTCAGCAAGATGCCTTGGAGAGTCATCTAAGTTGTGTGTATCAATAGTTCACTTCTTGTTATTACTGACTAGTGCCATGTGTGGATGTTCTAGACTTTGTTTATCCATCTCTCTGTTAGAGGACGTCTGGGATGTTTCCAGTTTGGGGCAATTATGAATAGAGCCACTATAAACATTCAAGTACAGGTTTTTATGTGAACACAAGTTATTTCTCTAGGGCAGGGGTTCTCAACCAGAAACTACTTTTGCTCCCCAGGGGACATTCAGCTAAGTCTAGAGACAGTTTTGGTGGTCACAGCTGAAGGCAGGGGTGCTACTGGCACCTGGTACTAGGGGCCAGGGATGCTGCTAAACCCCTCACAATGCACAGGAAAACCCCCAAAGAACGATCCACCCCCAAGTGTCAATAGTGCTGCTGTCGAGTCTCTGCGCTAGGTAAACGCCGAGGACTGGGGTTGCTGGGCTGTGCGGTAAGTGTATGCTTCACTTGATAAGAAACTGACACCTCTTCTGCCCACCTCTTCTCCACATGTGGCCAGTCGCTACTGTGGTGGGCAGCGCAGATTTAGAGACTACAAAGCTCAGTAAAAATACTTTAAATCCAACTCATTATTTTCTTCAGGTTCCTCCTATCCCTGTGACGTCCCACGCCTATAGAAACCGTATAGTGCGTATGGCAATATCTGCTCATGGCTCTGACAGATGCTGCTCTGTTTGGCTGCCAGCTCATAATATAATAGCTTATAATAGTTACCTTTTCTTTATCAATACACCTCTTGGGAATGGCCTTCCTAATCAAGACACAACATCCGAAAGAACAGGTTTCAATAAATAAAAAAACTGATAGATCATCTATAAAAATAGAAAAACGATTTTTATGTGACAAAGGATACCATGAACAAAGTAGGAAGGAAAGTAAGCACTCGATCCGCCTGTCGCTAGCTCTTTATGGGTGTTACAACCCAGTGATACAGGTACTATGATGATGCCCATTTTATAGATAAGGAAATGGAGGCCCAGAGAGGTTAAGTTACATGCCCAAGGTCACACAGCTAAGTAGTAGCAGAACTGGGGTACAAACCCAGGCGGTTGGGCTCCAGTGCCTGTGTACATAACCACTGCCACATCGCCTTCCCTATACTATGCTGCGGGAGAAAGCATTTGAAACATCAAAAAAAATAATATTCAGAGTGTATAAAAAACCTGCTATCAATCAAGAAGAGAAATATAAACAGCCCAATAGAAAGAAAAATGGCAAAGGACAGAATAGGCAATTCACAGACAAAGAAACGGAAACAGCCAATAAACACGAAAGATGCTCAATTTCCAAGTCATCAGCGGAGACAGGTTAAAACAAGGTACGATTTTTCAACCAATAGATGAGAGCGAAAATAAAGACGTTTGCTAACTAACAGGGCTGGGAGGGTGTGAGAGAATGGCCTCTCACTGCCGTAGCCCTATGAACGGTGTCCTGCCTTTCTGAAAGGCAATTTACCCACCACCACTGAACACCACTTCACCTATGACCAGCAATTCCTCTATCCCACAGCAATGGTCTCACAGCAGCACAGGGATGCACTCTCCTAACCCAGCTCCACGGGCGGGGCCCACGTGCCAAGTTCACCCGCCCTGTTTCCTACAAAGCCATGTGGGGATGGGAGCTGAGCACTGGGGCAGCAGGACACCCACCAGGCCACCCGCCACACCTCCCTCCCCACACAAGTCCCTTGTGTTCGTCCTTAAACTTAAGCCATTTGCACTTGCTATGCACTTAAGTCCTTTCATGATAAAAGCGAAACAATTTTCAGGGCAAAGGGAGTTGTTCTTAAGAAAACTAAGCTGAAAGCTCTGCGAGTCCAGTAATGGCAAGATGCTAAAAACCAAACCAAAATCAAACTGCTGATGAATAAAACATGCGTAAAGCATGGGGAAACATCAGAAACATCTATAAGGATTTTGCACTTAAAGAGTCTTCCCGGGTGTCTGAACTCCAAATCAGACGGTGCCTTAGGACGATACCGGGAGAGAGAAAGCAGATATAGCCATTCTTCCAGGGAGAACCCAGGAGCCAAGAAAAGGCCGGCACGCATCGGCATTGTCTGCATTGTCTTAAACAATGAAAATATAGTAATGAGTTGGTTATTTATTTTTAAAACATTTAAAATTAAAGTGATACCTTTATCAATGTAGAGCATCCTTTTAAAAATACAAAACGACTTTCTTTGTCTTGAATTCTACTGTCTGACAATACAGTGGGTTTAGTTTTCTAGCCAATTGGCAAATTTCTGTCTTTCACAGGAGGATTTAAGCAATTTGCAGTCACTGTTATAACTGACACATTGGCTATTAACTCTGCCACCTTATTTTATGCTGTTTATTTTTTGTATTTTTTTGCTGTTTGCATTCCTTTCCTACAAGGGCCCCACTTTCCCTGTTTTTAGCTTTGCTTATGTTGTAGAAGGTTTACATCCATGTTTTAAGTTCTACTAGGGTTTATCTCTAAGCTTCCCAAAGTGTTTAAAACTTTCATTCCCCTAATTCTCAAGGTAAAAAGTAAGTATTCCCCTGAAAAAATTGGTCTCTTTTCCTTGTTCTGAGGACTTAAAAAAACGACCCCAAGATGGTAATAGTGTGTAAAAGAAACCAAATGCAAAGCCGTGTTGTGTAATTCCTTTTCTACGAAAGTCAGAGTTAGGGATGGTGGCCCTTTGGGTGGCTGAGGGAGCCTCTGGGTCTCTCTCAGGATGACCAACTGCAGGAGTTTCTTCCAGGGCTTCTGGCACCTTCCACAGCTGCTCTCGGTGGGCAAAGCCAGGTGAGCCTTCTCAGTCCAGCTCCACCTGCCTCGGCGGAGGTCCTCCCGGCCCCAATCTTCAGTCCAGGTGGGGTGAGTGGCTTCTTGATGTCTCCTCACCAGCAACTGATGATGAGACATCATTTATGTCCGAAGTTTCATATAAACTTCGGCCATTTAAAATCACTGCTCACAGCCCCAGGGGTGTCAAAGCTGGAGCCGATTTCTCCTGATTCTCCTGAGCAGGTCGCAGGTGAACCCTCTGCAAATAAGTTTTCTCGAGCCTCTCCGAGAAGCCAGTGCATCATGGGACAACCTGCGTTGGAGTCAGAGGAGCCTGGTCAGGAAGTCTTCTCAGTGCTGTCCGTTAACTGTGCGCAGTTTGCAGTGTGCCTTTTAAGTAAGCGAGGAGTGCAAACGTCTCTATGGAGCGCAGCGCAGGAGTATGTAATGGGGGTCAAAGAAGGGCAGAACATAGGGTGCCAGGATGGCAACCCAGAACAAGTTCAAGTACGGCCTTCGAGGAGCAGGTGAGTGGGGGTGCGCGGGGCGTCAGAGTGACAGGAAGTGTGAGACGATAGAGATGATGGGACTTGGATGGAACAAGAATCCCAGTCTCTTCATTTCCCGCTCTGTAACCACTTTTTTATTTTTTATTTTTTTAAGATTTTTATTGGGGATTTGGGGAATGGGAACAGTGCTGGGGAATCAGGGGAAGGGAAACAGACAAGTTGCTGTCCTTTTGTTCTTCAGTCTAGTTGTGCAGGACGTCGCTTCACTGGCCTATGTTGGTATTATCACTGCGTTCTTCCCGGGTGAGGCAGATCAGTTGCAGGCCTCTGGAAGGCCACTCATGGCGGCTCTTGGCAGCTCACACCGGCTGCCAGCCGCTCATGCTGGCTGCCAGCCACACACGGTAGCTCACGGCAGCCCACTGCAGCAGGGGCTGCAGCCTACGCCATCGCTGGTGACCCACGGCAGCCCAGCTCCAGGTCAAGCTGTTGTTCAGCATCTTAGCTGTAGTGGGTGCAGCGTCACTGGCCCTCAAGTGGGATCTGAACTGGGGCCCTGCTGCTCAGAGCTGGCATCCCAAGCCAGCTCTTAACCAACGCGCCACTCGGCCGGCCCAGTACCCACTCTTAAAACTCCACAATGGACACACATTGCACGCTCACTGTTTCCCTTGCCTGGTTTCCTCCTCCCTCTGGACCACTCCTGTTTCTCCACACCACAGATCTTCCTTCTCTGCCCACATAACTGTCGTTCAACTAAAACGAACACTTAGATTTCTTAGCTACTCGTTACTGTCTCTGCTCATTTGGAATTACTTCTCCCTGCTAGCAATAAACCACGAGGCCCTCCAGGTGATGACTCAGCCTAATCAGCCCGGACCATCAAATGCGGGGGCTATGGATGCGGCCCCAGCTCTCTGTTCCAGTCAGGAGGGGTGTGCATGCTCAGGGCTTGCTTTCAGAGCCCCCACGCATCCCAGGTTTAGACAACTACAAAATAAAGTTCTGGGTAAGACTGTGAGTGAAAAGTCAAGTGCTGGTGACTGGAGTGACTTCACAGTCACAGTTGCTAAGCATCACCTAGCGTCCAGGTGTGCCAGGAAACATACCACAACAATAACCGAGGGTGTAAAGAATACAGTGTTGCTGTTGCATGAAACGCGCATGCTGAGAACACTCAGGTAGTGGGGTTGAGCTATCCAACGAGGTATTTTTTGTTGCCTGTGAAATAATGTGAATTTTCCTGCACGTTCTGGATGGATGAACCGCCCCAATAATTCTCTGGGTGAGCCTGCTTGGTGGGCCTCCGCCCATACTGGTTACAATATCTCCTCCGTTCAGAGTAAGCTCGCATGCCAAGCGCCCTTACCTCCTGCAGCTTGATCTCCTCGGGCTGGAGGATGTCCAGCACCCCGCTGCTCTGGATCTCGGGGAGATCCTGCCAGAGGTTGAACTTTGAGTGGGGGTTGCTGAGCAGGCAGATCTGGGGCAGAGCCTTCCTCTCTGGAGGGCTGGCTGGCTCCTCCTCTTCCTCCTCCTCCTCCTCCTCCTCCGGAGTCTCCTCACTGGCTGGGGAACTGTGGCCATCCGCTTGTATTTCTGCATCCTGCTGCCTCCTGGTTTCAATTTCCTGAAGAGTTGATTTATCTCGATATTCCTGATACAGGAGCCCTGAAATCAAATAGAGTTAGAATGAAAAAAGTAAACGATTTCAGACGCAGATATTTCCGAATCACTAAGCCAGGGCTTTGTCCTCTCATCAAGGGCAAGGGCTCTGCCTACGGGCACACGAAGACAGCCAGACCTGGACCTGTCTAGCAAAGGGCTGAACCTCGTCTTCACTTTCTGGGGAGGATCAGCATGCGTGAGTTTTTTCAACAAGGAATAAAGAAACCCCTGAGCTGATTTAACATCCAATCAAGCACGCAGGCTTTCCGCACGCATACTGGGCAAACAACAGGAATCAACGGCTTGACGTGTTAATAACCAGCGTGCGCAAAGCCGATGGAAATGTCTCCATTATGTTTCAGTATCCCACAGGACGCTTCCCACAGTCTTAAATGCTTCCATATTAAAACGCAAGTAAATTCATGTGTGAACTGGGAGTGGTCGTCAATTCTCATTGTCAAGGAAAAGCCAATATTTCATCATCCTTATGATTCAAAAGGGAAACATTCCTTTTTTGCTTTCACAGTTTCAGACTTAACTTCCGTGAGCAATTGTCCTTGAAATAAATGCATTACGAGTATCCAGGGAGATTTGGGCGTGCATATGAATCAGCATAGAGGTGGCACCTCCACAGGGAAAAACCCATGTCAGATATTCTGCAGAGTGGAAGGATTATCTCTTCACATAGGAGCAGAAACCCACGGGAGGTCCTAGCCCAGGGAGATGGGGAGAGGAAGGGAGGGGTTGCCGGGGAGGGGAGCAGGAATGCCATCAGCAGTAAGGCTGGGAGGAGGTGGTCAGACCCTTGGGGTCTTGTCTGTTTGTTGTGCTGTGGAGATGGCAGTCTATCCTGTGGGCAAGAGGGACGCCCAAGAGACCTCAGGCAAGCCGCTCTGGTCTGCGTTTTAGGAGGCCAACAGATGGGAAGAAAGAGGCTGTGACAGTTCTCCAGGAGAGCAACGATGGAGACCTGAGCTGCTGTGGTGATAGGAGGATGGAGCCATGTGCCTGATTCAGGGGACAGTGACAAGGTGGAAGATGGGTCCTGGTGACTGGCTGGTGCTGCTGGGTCACAAATAATATCCAGGTAACCAGCCTGGCAACAAGGTCGGGTGGCCCCACTCAAGGAGAGGAGGAATACAGAAGGAGGGTCCAACTGGGGGATGGGGGTGGTGGAGAGGTCCAGTGGGCAGCTGGACATACCAGTCTGGACAGCAGTCAGGGCCCCTTGATATGTCTATCTATAAAACAAAGATAATTTCCCCAGGAAAGTTCTGATAGGGATAAATGTACCACTTGGAAAGCACTTTCTCATACAATCGTAGTACAAATGTTAGCTATTATCCCTTCTTTATCTAATTGTTAAATATATCTAAACATTAGAAAAAGGAAGGAAAGAAAAACAAACTAACTTTGAAATCCTCAATGTGGCCGGACAGATTATATTCATAAACAGGAACCCAATAAATCTGCCCTGTGGATTAAATTGGTTGGCTTCCAATGCTCCATGACACTAAATTATAAAGCCTTTCTGCAAAGTAGATAGCATTTACTTCAGAAAATGAGGAGCCTGTGATTTTACAATGTTACAATCCAGCAGAATAAAACGGCGTTAATTTGACAAAGGAATGGAAACTGAAGTCCATTCTAAACGCAGTCCAGACTGAAGACAAGGTTAACATCACTACATAAACTGGTTCAGTCATGAGTACAAGATCACTCACTGTTGCTTCTGACACTGAACTGATTGTTCTCCTGTGATTTCGATACTGTATTTTCAGAGGTTTAAAGAAACCAGGTTCCCACAAGTTGACTTGGAGCCTCTTTTCTATGCTTAACACGGCGCCTCCCCCACATAGTAGGTACGCAAATATTTGTTGAATTGAACGCCTTTTTAAAAAGCAGTTTCCCAGCTTCACAAAAGTGTTGAACTAATTTGGCATCTTTTCGAAGGTTCAAAATTACGTCTCATGTATGCAATAGTCGGCAAATCATGGGTAAAAACTATCTCCAACATCATATGCTGAAGAGAGACATAAATATCAGCACTGTGGGTAGCTGGATTGAAAATAATGTTTCTGAAGTCACATTGTGGCAGGCACCATTGGCGGCCTTTCCTCTGTCCCCTTACACCTCTTCCTCCCAGCTGACAGGGGAGGGGTTTTGTTTGGGTGCTGACCCATTCGGTGCTCAGGGAAGAGGGTGAATGTCGACTGATAAAAACTTACTGTGACAGTTCTCTTCCCCTTGCCCGTGGTGGGTTTAGACGTGAGCATGCGACACAGCCGAGGAGAGTAAGGGGACAGCTTACACCTTGAAGAAGGGCTTCTCAAAAAGATGTTCCTCCCTGACAGACACTTGAAGACAAACTGCCCCTTTTTGCTTTCACACATGGCTTCTTGAGGATGTGATGTCTGGAGCTGTGGCAGCCACCTTGTGACATGAAGCTCACATGCTGAGAATGGTGGAGGGAAAGGAGCTGCGCGATGGCTTGGCTTATCCAACTACCTTCAGAGCTTCACTCCAGAACTTCCTACCTCTGGGCTAGAATATTTCTATTGTTTAAAGTCATTTTTTCTGGATAGTCTGTCACTCTCAGCCAAAGACTCCCAATACAAGTAATTTTGGAACTTCCTTAAAACTTCATATTTCTTCCTGAAGTATTTAGAATATGAATTTAAACGCCCATTTTCCTGAAGTTACTGTGATTGCAAAGAGTTGTTTGACACACCGTGTAACCATTTCTCATAACCTGTTTATTGTTACTAGCTTTAAAATTCAGATTACAATAAAAATAGAGTAGCTTTACCTGAGGAGCTATATGCTATGTGATTAAATTTCTGTACTGGATGTACTGTTAATGTATCATGTTTTCCTATTTTATATTTTATACATTCAGCATGCACAACTTTATATGGAAATTGACTTTACTTGTAAAACCTCATACCTGGTACTAGCATATCCATGCAGAGTTAGAAGGCTCAGCTCCCTTCTCTCCTAAGTAGAATGATCTACCCCAGGCTGGCTGTGCCGCCCTGCAAAAGGAAGTTCCCAGCTCCTCTTGGCAAAGCCACCGGAGTCATTCAAATTCTTACTTTCTATAGAGAATAATTTTTTTCTTGGAAGTTTCAATTTGAAGGATTCAAAAGGGCAGGGAATCCTTTTCTTTTTTTTACTGAGCACCTTCTATGTGCCGAACATGTGTCAGGTGCCAGGGACAACAACAGTAGCGCGTGTGCACACATGCACACACATAGCCAATCGCAGGGTCTCCGGGTCCATGATCCGAGACAGTCATGTACCACATCATGCAGAATGCTGGCAAAATTCTGTGCTGGCTTCCATGGGAGCCACTGCAAAATCCGACGCGGTGGTCAGCAAAATGCCCAGGTATTCATTCCACTTTCCTCCACCCTCAGTCCCACTGTGTCTTTAGGATCCTCTCATCCTTTCCTGACACCTGGCAAAGAATTCACTTCATTCACAGAGCTAAAGGCAGGTGGGGCTGGTGTAGGAATCTGCTTAGCACAGGACTCAAGTCTAGGATGAAGGATGTGAGAAGAAGGCAGTGACAGCTCTGTGCTGTCATTCAACGTATCTGTTGAGCACTTTCTATGGATCCAGCCCAGGAGCCAGAAACAGGTAGTTGCCACTATACCAGCAGATATTTACAGGGGGCCAGGAGAGAAAAGACTCAAATGTCCGTCTCTACTGTTTACCACACGAGGAAATTGAGGGCCAGGCAGGGCAGGTATCAGAGCTCAGGGCCCCTGACTTGGGGCTTACGGCACTGGCCCAACAAGTCCAGCCATCTCAGGAGGTATCTCCACATGCCCATGTGCAGGCAGGAGCCTCTCTCCACGAGAAGAGGAGCCCCCCCCCCTCCATGTCCTTCCTAATCGTGACATTGATCTTAACCAAAGAGGATCCCATTCAAGGAGGTGGAGGAGGCCTAGGCTTCCAGTGTTTGCCAAGGCATAGGTGGCCCTCCTCATTAGGGACAATGCGGCAAGGAGGTGGGAGAAAGGGGTTCTCAGGAATCTGTTCTCAGATCAGCCCCTTTCCATTGCCCCAGAACACAATGGGGAAAGCCGCCACCACCATCACCACCCGGGCTGACACGCAGGGGGCCTGCAGGAAACAAAATTCCTGGAGTCAGCAGCATAACAGCATTTGGTGTGCGCTCCACCCCCTCAGCTCTGCAAGGGCTCAGTTCCTCTCAGGGAAAATCCCCTGCCAGGGAAGAGTGGGCCGCCCCAAGTCTCCCAAACGCAGGGTCTCCTTGGGCAACAGATGCTCCACTTCCACTGGAGGCACTTCGTTTCTGTCTGAGCGTTTGGAGTGGAGGACAATAATGATGTTTAGGGGACAAATTTTCCAAACCTTGAAATTTTAACTTAACAGATAGACTGTCTGCTGCTCTGACACTGAAGAACAGAAAGATTTTTTTAGCAGCCGGTACCATTTTCCGAATGACGGAACCCACGTTACACATTCAGTGCCGCCACTGGTGACAATGGTGAGCACTAGTTGGATGTCATCAGCAATTTTTTACTTTTAAACGCAAACGCTCACGTTGTTGGGACGCCTTTTCAATCCACTTTCTGCATTCACAGGGCTTCAGCTGCAAGTGTGCTGGAGCCAGACACCTGCAGGCTGTGCCCCACACCTCCTGGCCATGTTCCTGGAAAGGCAGGTGGAGCCAGGCTTCCCTTCCTAACCCAGGAGCCTGGCGGGAGGGGGTGGGGGAAACGGGCTCCCGCTTTCTCTCTACCTTCCCTTCCCACCCTGTGCAAAGTCGGCCACGCCTCCTCTTCTTGAATTGCACGGTCAGCCTGGCTCACTCCAGGAACGTCCCCCCCTCTGCCCCCACCCCCATCCGGACAGATTCCCTCTCTTTCCAGGTCTTCCCAGCCCCTCTCAGGCCAGGGTTCATGAAGCCCTCCGTCCCGCATGGCCCAGCAGTGCCTCGCCCTGGTCTTTCTGGCGTTAGTGACAAGGGGGCAGAAAGCCCTCCCCCAGGACAAGGCACCTCTCAGGACAGAGCAGGACAGAAATGCATTTGCGAAAGCCCAATTATACAGCACTGTTAAAACGTGGCAGTTGTGCCTGTGGAACCACTGAGAACCAAATATGCCCAAACGTTCCTTAGCCACGTCAGATACATTTGCTCCCAGAAATGCAAGGGGCATCTCACAAGCAAGGGGCCCCTCAGAGTCCACCCGGGGCCCAGGTTTCGCCCTTGAAGCCCGGCCGCCGCCGCGGCACCCACCTATTTGTTCGATGAGGTTCCTCCAGGAGTCGGCGGGAATGGGGTGGATCATCTGCAGGGCCTCGGTGAGCGTGGCGGGGCTGTCGGCCAGCGCCGGGCACTCCTCGGGCGTCGCCCCATTTCCCAGGGTGGAGGACGACTCGCTGCCAGAGAGAAGAAGGGGCCGGGCCGGTTATTTTTAAGCAACGACACACCTCGGCTAGTTGGCGAGAGGCGTCCGCACACGGGGCCTTGGCCAGCTGGACCCGCCCGGGACCGTCCAGGCGGAGCGGACGCCGCCCCTCTCGGCCAGGCGGGCCCCACAGGCGCTTTCTGTCACCGCACCCGGGCGCGACCGGGTGATTCATGCCCACACCAGCTTGCCCAAACCTTCATGTTTTCAGAGCTCGCGGGCAGGCGTCGGAAACTTGGCGCGCCCTGCCCGCTCCGCGGCGCCGCCCGGACGCCCCGACGGGTCCCGCGGCCAGGAGCCCGGCCGGCGCTGCGCCCCCGGCGCGCCCGCAGTTACACGGCCCCGGCCCCGTTCTGGCTCCGGTCCTCCCGTCCCAGTGCCTCGCGGAGGAGAGAAGGGGCGCCGAGCCAGACCAGCGTGCCCGGGGGCGCCTTGGAGAGGGCGTGGGAGGCGGCGTGGACAGGGACGGGGGCGTCGGCGGCCCCGGCCCGGACGCACCCCCAACCCCAGGCGGGTGCCCGCACCGCGGAGACCGTGCGTGGGAGTGGGGGGCGGCAGAGCCCACGCGGCAGAGGCCGCGGGGGTCGGCGTCCGCTGCGGAGAGCCAGAGCTGGGGCCAGAGGCGCGCGGGGGCGACACGCGGGGGTCCAGACGGCCGCTTGTCCTCACCTGCCGGGCAGGTGTCCTGCCGCCGAGTCGCGCGCGTCGCTCTCCGAGGGGGAGCTGTCGTGGTCCACCGCGCAGGCTGCGCTGAAGGCTGCGGCCAGCAGCTCCATAGGGGCCAGCGGCCCGGCGGGCGCCGGGGCCGGATCGGGGGCCTCGCTGGGGGCCCGGGGCCGGGCCGGAGGCGACGAGCGGGCTGCGGAGCGGGGTCGCAGCGCGCGCGGCTGGAGCTGGAGCTGGAGCTGCCGCCGCTGCCGAGCGCTCCCGCAGGCGGGCGGGCGCGCGCGCGCGCCTGGAGGCACCCGCGGTTGCCACGGCAACGAGGCTGGCGGGAGGGGCGCGCGCGGCGGGGGCGAGGCCGGGCGGCAAAGGGGCGGGGAAGCCGGGGCCGGGCGCAACCCCGTGCCCGCGGGCGAGGACAGCCGCTCCGGACCTCCCACCCTGCCCGCGCCTCCCCTCCGGGGCCCGGCGGGGCGGGGGAGAGCAGGGCAGCGTGCGTGGGGGCTGGTGAGCGGCGCCCTGGGCTTCCCGCCCCCTCCTCGCCTCCTGGACCACACCGGCTCGCGAGGAGAACTTGGAAAGCACTGGCGAGGTGACCCTTTGCCCTCAACGCTCTAGAGCCTCCGCTCCGATCAGGCAGCGCATCCTCTGTGGTTCCCCCGCAAGGACCAGCCCGGGGACCCCCGCCTCTGCTACCCCAGGCACAGCCTCGGAGGAGTGCGTCCTCGCTGGAGGTGCCTATGTCCGAGGGAGTCCGAGGCAGAGACGGGGGTCTCTGAGAGCCCCTTGCACACCTGCTCCTGACCCTGACCAGGGAGAGGGGGCCAGATCGGAGGCCTTTTCCAGGCGTGTCTGGCCGACCTCAGCCACCCTCAGGCCCTGGTGGTCCAGGATGGGTTATGGGGGAGCTCGGGAGAAACAAAGTGCCCCCAAATCCCCCACCCGGTTTCCCTACCCGGGTCACGTTGACTCTTGGAATCTGCACCTACGTGTTAGCTAGGTGGATCCGCTTCTGGATACAGAAAGCAAGCAAAAACTGGAGTCAAGTGGAGTTTGAGTGATCCCATGTGACGAGGCAATCTAGAGGGATTTTCGCCCATCAAGACCGACTGGTCCGCTCCCCGTTGTCCTTTCTGAGGCCAGCCCGCCCGCTTTCCTTGAAGGACGCTGCTGACAGCGGCTGCTTCTGTGGACCAGGGTCAGTTCTGATGGCTAGGGACGGAGGATAGATACCTTGGGCAGGGGGTGGAGCGGAAAATCTTCCTCTGCACGTTCCACTTACTGGAATTTAACAAGTTCCTTGTTTTTGGATGCAAATACTGGTGGGAAGGGTTCGGTTACTAGTTGGTAGTTGACTTGAATAGGCTCCTTAGCCAGCTGTTTAGAACATGGCAGGTGTGGTAAAGGGAGAGTTTGGGGCAGGAAAGGAAAGAAAACCCGCTTGGGAGGGGGTGTTGCCTGGAAGGGAACTCCCCTCCCCACACCAGGGTTGCAGCCCATGGCCCCGCCCACTCCATCCTCCCCCAGTTCTGACTCCAGGAAAGGGGCTCAGGGTGACCACAGGCCAGTTCCTACGGCTACCACTTAACCCTAGTTCCCCTGAGGGGCCAGAATGCACAGGCCTGCTCTCCCCTTGCCCTGAAGGTCTCAGAATATCTCCCTGACAACCTTCTGCTCTCCTGTTTCCAAGCCAAGCCCCTCCCGTCCGTGACTCCTCCACACAGCTTCAGACAGCCCTCTCCAGATCTCTGCTCACTGGCCATCTCTGCCTGGATGTCTGCTGAGCCTCCACCAGTGCACTCACATCTCCCCACTGCCACCAGCAGCCAAGCAGCCAAGCAGCCAACCAGGAGGCCAGGCAGAAGGTGAGAGCTGCCACCCCACATGTCAGTGCCCCACTGAGCCCCCAAAGAGTTTTAAAGCAGTACCCCCCTCCTTGGCATTTGGACCTCTCCCCACCCAGTTCACTGTCTCTGACCCCTTTCTAAACTCTGGGTCTGCTTTGGTCTTAAGTTGGCGTGCCATCCCCTGACGATGCAGGCCAGCCTCCTGGCACTGTAACGGGGGTCTTCCCCAGGTGTCCCATTCCTTGCCGGCTTCCTCAGGCTACTGTCCTCGCCGGCTCCTCTGAGACTTTGGTCTCACTACGCCCTTGTCCAGGCTCTGGGCTTTGGCAAGTCCTGCTCCCACTACTAGGACGCTGCTCCCTGGGGCAAGTCTTCACTCTCGCAGGTCAAGGCGCATCAGGCCGTCCTGCCCAGGTCCTTTCCCCTGTGTACCCAGCAGCATTGCCTGGCACTGTGATTCTCTGTGAACAGGGCCATCCTGACACTAAGCTCTGGGCTCCGCCAGGGTGGGCATCATGATGTCTTACTCTTCTTTCATCGGGGTCCAAGGAAGAGCAGTGTATGGGCAATCGCGAGGACCTACTGCTTTGCAGGGTTTCGCTACTCCTTCAATTGAATGTAACATTAAGTGAAGCTGTTACTTTCACACTTTGCTGCACCAAGGAGAAAAGATTAATTTTTTTAAATCAAAATATTCAAGTGAAATTACATATATTAAGGTGAGCATAATAAAACCTTCCAATTGAAAAATAAGCTAAAAATATCCTCCTAATTATAAAATCAGTTTAGAAAGTCACAGTTCTGAAGGCATATAACCTTAAGCTAAATTCCCCATGTTCTATTTTTTATCATGTTTGGTGCTTATTAGGCAAGCTATGACTAAAATCTCCATTCACCTGACATTTTGCTCACAGTATACTTTATTCACACAATAAAGTATAGATAAATATTTCAAATATACCTCATTAGCACATGGTAAGTGCTCTATATGTATTTAAGAAATTAATTGTATGTGTTAAAGAAAATGTTTAGTGTTAAAAAGAACGAAACAGGCCAAAAGGGAGTCACTTTTGCTCAGCCACCTCACCAAACCAAAACTTAGTAACCAAACCTAATTGCAGTTTCAGCCTCTTCCAGGAGTAGAAGTCTAAAGGAATCAGTATGGAATTTCCTGGCCATCACTAGTGAGGTAATCTGCTTGACAAAACCCTGTCTTCCCCTAAGGGAAGGTGTCCTTGCTGAAATAACCCACTTTTAACTTCTT